AACGGTTCTCATGTCCTTGCAGGCTTTGAAGCTCTTCCTATCCCAACTGTATTACTCCTGTCCATCTTACATGAGGAAACTGAGCAATCCTACCCCGTCTCTTTGCCAGGAGATGCAGCCTGTTGAGTGGAGCACTGGCACAGCAGCCCCTGCATGCATTAGTGTTCCATGAGCCTCACTGTGTGACACCTCACGATCCCTGCTCCGCCAGCTCTGCAAAGGGCTCTTCACTGGTGCACTGGGCTGCCACTGCACGTGAAGCCAACCCCATTGTTCTGTTGGTGGTGAAAATACACAGGTTTTTCCAGCAAAGAAAGCCTCATGSAAGCTGGGGGGCTTCCCAAGGCACAGCGGGTCGGTCACCAGACAAACAGCAGAATGCTTGAGGAGTTTATCGTGATCTGTCATCTTAATGTGCTTGAGTTCCTATGGCTGGGGACTGCATGTGAGATTGAAAACAGAGCAGACATGGGGACKTTGGTAGTAGATGAAGGAGCTGACAAAAATGTGTAAGGTGAACTTTCTCAGTTCAATCCTGTTAAGCAATACGGGGTTTCTATGCAGAGAGGGAGGATCTCTGCAGCTGGCAGCCCTGTGTGATAGCTCTAAGTGAAGCACATCATCATCTTGGAAAYSATGTTTTARCYTCATGGGGAAATGGCACATAGATTATAACAGCAGAATTTCCCTTCTAAGGTGTGTGCAGAGATCTCTGACCTTTAATTTGTTTTCAAATGTGATGAGTTTCTGCCACCTGTCATCCAGCCACAGATGCAATATCATACCAGTAGTGAGGTAAAGGACAGAACAAACTGTAGTTAGTTTGAGGAAATGGCAATATACATTTCAAATCAACAGCAGTAGTTCAATTCTAGAAACCATGACAAAATGCTTTTATTTTTTCCCCTGAGTTCAGTTTTGGAGGCTTGTTTTGAAAACAAAACATTTTCTTGGCATGTCTCTACTGATTTCTTAAATGTGCCAGTGGAGGAAAYATGCTCCTGTGTCTTCAGCTTCTTTGTAATAAGATCCAGTTAAACAACTAAAGACATTAAAAATTCATTAGAGCATTTCAATGGTGTAGTCAATCAGACCTGTTGTTTATCAAAGCATTTCCTGCCAAATAAAATGTCTTTTCATTTTTAAAGTGCATATAGAGGAAGACATTTGTTCAGAGTGCTTTGTATAAAATTGATTTTATATTTATATGTAAATTATTTTACACTTCTCTAATGAAGCAGWAGGTAAAATTAGGTAAAGGGTAAATCTGTGAGAACATCTCAGCTTTAACTGCCAAATTCTGCTTTAGGTCAAACAGCACAGGTGAATTACATCACAGTACTGGGGTGGCACTCAGTAATAAAAGAAGTTAATTGCAAATTCTTCATTATTATCTTCCTCATGAAACATTTTTARGGTACCTAAATGTTTGCAAGCAAAAATACGGTGAGCCAAATTCTGCTCTGATTTCCTAATGGTGTCTCAAAGAAGGATTTGGGTGATCCATGGATGAACTGTCAGCCCCCAAATTATTGTTATGCTTACTTCTGGCACTACTAGAAATACAGAAACCTTTGGACAAATCAGAATTATTGTCAAGGCAAATGTGCCACAAGAAAATAACTAGCTAAGTGTCATTTTGAGAATACCAGATTGCGTTCTAAATAGATTTCTGGAGCAGCAGCAGGTTAACTGATACTTAATTTCTGCTCATCTGCATCGGATGTGACCAAATCAAGTGCCAAAATAGCTGATGCAGYTTCATATCATCCAGAAACTTGCACAAGTGCTTCAAAAGCTGTTATCATGGACATAGCTCTGTTCAATGTGATTTCAGTTCCACCTCTCAGTGTGGTTACTGAGAATGCTGGCTGGGAATCTGAATTTAACCACAATGTCTCGGTACAATAAAAGTTGAGCCAATGCATTAGATCTGCATGACCTTCCACAGGAATCTAGATTGGAGGTGACAGCAAACCTGACAATTGAGTTAAGACTCATGTTGGTGAGGAAGAATTGTATGAGGCTTGCTGCAGTTCCCATCGATCTAAACACAGTGRAATCTGGTATTTTTGTTTGAAGGATTGTATTATTCTTCTAAACCTGCTTGAAAGGGTAATGGAMATTTATACTTGGAAGACTGGGGACCTATCTGAATTTATGAGATTTCAGTATTTTAAGCTTTAAATTAGTATTTAAAATGTATGCTTATCTTATGATATAAAATCTGTGGTTAAGCTTAGAACATAATGYTTCTCCAGATGTTTACATACATGAGCCAAACTGAGAAAAAGATTGTTAAATAATTTGATACCAGCTAGGGAAAAAAACTTGATTGAAATATTTTCTGAACTGTGAATCTTTAAAAGGAGTGATCTTAATTGCATGGTATTTTTCAATGGAAGTCTGAAAAGACTTTGTAGTCTTACAAGGACGTACTTTATATATRCACATTAAATATGTACTCTTAAGCCTTCAAAGAAAGGTATATAATGAATATTCCTTTCAATAGTGTGATTTATCACYAACAGAGCATGCTCAATTCTCTGCATTTTTTTGCTTGCATTTAGAAATTTCTTCTTGTCAGAAGTACAGAAGCTTCCAAAGCTTCCTTTTCTTGTAAAGATGTGCCTGACCTTATCTTCTATAAAAAGCTCTATTTTGGCTARCACTCTATTTACATAGGAATGCAAGCATAATTAAATGCTGACAGCAAGAGGTCTGTTTGGGTGAAATCTGAATGAATATCTTATAGCGATGTGGTTAACAAACCTTATAAAAATAAAAAGAGGAGAAACTGCACCCCTCACACAYTGGGCAGTGTTAGCAGAGGGTGTCCTGGACTGGAGGTATGTAAACAACGAGGTGGCAATGTTAGGTTTGCGGTGTTGACAGCAGCATAAACAGCATAAAGAAGCCTTCTAAACAAAATCTSCAGCTGATCAGTGGAGCCGACCCACCACAGGCCTTCAGAGCTGCTGGGAGGGCGAGATGCATGGCCAGAGGGTGCCTGTGTGCTCCCAGCCATAGGGAGGGCGGGGAAGAGGTGCTGTGAGGTGCTGTTCAGCCACGGGGCTGTCAACAGGGGTGACCCCSAGAGTGGACCTGGATGCTGCAGAGGGTTGGCACATCAAAGGGCATTAGCAGCACCACGGCTTCTGCTGCCCCAAATACCAGAAAAGGAAGAAGTAGCCCTACCAGAAGTTAATTTAGCAAAACACTAGACTTTCTGTAGGAAAAAATGGAGCCAGTGAAATCCTGACCCTCTAAAATCCATAAGGATGTTACAGCTGATTTCAGAGAGTGGTAAAATACTAACCTATCCTTTTTGTGAACTCTCTCAGCCCAAGTTGCCTGTGTGGTTTTTGAGGGCACAGAAGAGGATMAATACTTCTCTGTCCATCTTTGTCYTTTTCTAAATTCTCTCCTTGCCTGTTCTGTTGGAGTCAAAACCCAATCYGTGTTGTTRAAATCACCCAYGGATGCTTAACAGCAGTGCTGCATGAAAGAAATACTGATTTGCACAGTGCMGTGGATCTTCCTAAGAACAGAGAATGAGCCCAGGTACCTTCTTTTTTATGTCACAGGCCWTGAAAAGTAGCGCTAAGTGAGATATGAGCTGCCCTGAACAGATGCAGCTGGTGTGTTTGACTGTGATAAGTGGTGGAAAAGCATGCCATATCTTCCCTCAGGAATGTGTTTATTGGTTGAAATGTTACATCCGAACATTCCATTTTTTACTGGTAAGTTTAAATACGGAATACATATGTACTTGTAGCAAGTACTCAAATAGATGGTTATATTTGGCTTTGCTCTTGTTAATGCAGTCATGCACTGTTGCCAATGTTTTAAAACCTATCTGTATAAACTTGGGCATTTAGATCCATATTTCAATGTACAAAGAAGTGGTTTCATTTTCCAAAGTACTGAGAGGCTAAGAGACTTCTTGAAAAATAGTTGTATGACCATCAAGTGAGGTGTTGACATGATTGCATGTAGATAGATGTGATCACAGTTGTTCATATAGAAACCAGATCCGTTCCAGATTCCATTTCAGAAAATGTATAGGTGCATTAATTCAGTGCTAATGTGCTGTGTCTCAGCTGTAATAGCTTTTTTTATAATTGACATCKGGGTTAAAAACAGAAGAAACTGTTTTTGGAAGATTCCTGGGTTATGGTATTTCAAATTGCTTTGTAGCTGCAATTATACCTACTAAACAGTGAAATATTTAATAGCATGTTTTATATTCCCACCTTTATTTGGATTGTAGTGTAGTTGATTAAATTTAGAAGACTATACAAGCTTGTCCTTTCTTTTTAGTTGACTGATAGAAGTAATTTGTCACTGTTTCCATYGCAGGCCACATGATTAAGATCAGAGTCAAAAACACAACTGTGCAGATCTCAACCACTGGGACCATTGCTGTGCACTGAGATAACCAAAAAAGGTAGAGGCTGAAAGAAGACAGTGTGATTTGAAATTAATCTAGATGTAACAACTCCCTTCTGTAGGCTGTGGTTGGGARCTCTCAGCTGAGCTGAGTGTGCCAATGGCTGATTCACAACTGCTGGCCTGTTCCTTCTCTGACCTAACGCTGTGCTCTTCTCACAGCTGCTGATAAATCCTCTGAAGCCTAAAAYCTTGGGTTGCCTGAGGTTGACGGAGCCCTGACAGCCTGCACCAGTTGAAGATCAGTCCCTGGGTGTCTGAACCCTACAGGGAGCGTTCTTTTCTAATGAGCAACATGTTTGAGGGAACTGCAGGGACTGTGATCTGAGAGTACTGGGGGGAAGCAACAGCCAAGACCCAAATGTTAGTTCCTTTGGTAGCAGCTAACACATTTCCTGACTGCAGTGCTGTCCATGTAACTTGAAAAGAATTCTGAATGAGTCTGTGGCAGAATAAACTAGCTAATGAGATCATGGGAGAGGGCTTTTTTTTCCTTGATGACCAACCGTTGTCTTGTCTGGTGGTAATAAATACACGACAACCACAAGTAATGGAAGAGTTCATCATTGCCAGCAGTACTGGATCCCAGGCTTTCTTTTCCATGAGCCAGTGAAATGCACAGGCCACACTGTAGTTCAGAGGAAGAACAGGCAGGCTGAAAACAAAACACCCTCCCTCCCTTCCAGCATGGGCTTTTGCAGTGTTTCTGAAAAAAAAAAAAATAAGCTCTCTATAGAGTATTTCAGTTAATCTTTAGAGACCAGTAATAAAACTCTAGGAAAAGTATGCAAAGGAGCAGATAGGCCACTTTCCATCAGGATGGCTGTACTTGGTAGGAAGATCTGCTTCTGATTAACATGCCAAGAAAGTACTTAGGTTGAAAGAGAATTTTACTAGACACTTTTAAAGGAAACTGTTTAGAAAAATGCCATGTACTGACCTCTGAGAAAGATCTGCAGGATCAGTGTTTCCTTCCAGTTCACTCTGAGGTTTCTACCCTCTCTGTCATGCCCTCAATAGCAATAGCAATAATACCAATACTTTCAGCACTGCAACACTCTCTACTTCAAAGCACTTCACAAACACTGGACTAGATTCAGTCTGGTCTTCTGCGGATGTAAACTTTCTGCTGAAACCCTGGCTCTGTTATAGTGAATGGCAAATTTCCCACTGACTTCAGTGGGGTTGAGATTTCATTCACTCCTTGTCAAAGAATTTGGGCAAAGCAAACCTTCTGAAAGAGGTGAACGTGGTAGCTGAAAGGAGATGAAACCCCTCTTCRTTGCAGGGAACACATAAATTCTAAAAACAGAGCACAGGCACATCCAGACTGTTAGGGGAATGACAGAGGGAAGAAAGTCTAACCAATTATTCACCTCACAATGTCTTTTCTCATAAGTCAAGCATYAGGACAATTTTCTGTTTTTGTTTTGCCCTCAAACTTGTAAGTCTACTAAGGGTAAATAGCTGCTTGACTTACTAGCTTGGTTATAGCTTGCTGACTTCTCRATAACCTTAGTTTCTAATAATTTTGCTTAGCATTGTCACTGGCAGTTGTTCATAKCAGAACAGTTGGACTTTATGCCCCTTTTCACAGGGGCAGATCAGTCAGAAGTCAGCCCCTTGCTCACACGCACGCTCAAATATGTTTTTTTTAACACTTAAAACACTGCAAGTATCTTGAATATTTTTAGTCCTTTTTTATCACATTGTTCAGTGAAGATAGCCTTTAAAATCTTTTGGGGCTGAAGAAGATATGTTTTCACAAGCATATTTAGAGATTGCAAAATGTTGTTTATTTTGTATGAATAAAGATTGCTTTTATAGTTTTGTGATCCCAAAGAAATTACTAACCATATGCAAGGCTGAAGAGGAGGCATAGCACTGAATATCAGGAGAACTGAACAGTGAGGAAGATTTTAAGAAATAAAAATGCTTTAAAAATTAGTTGAAACATTGAATGATGCCAGCCAAGCTATATTTGCTCCTTCTGATCAGGACTCTGTACCTGAAATCCTTATGCGTGATGTTGCCATCTGCCTTTGCTTTTGAATGATCCTACTGAGCATTTCTAGCCTCCTGGGGTATATAAACCCCATCTGTCCAACTGAACAGTGAGGAATCTCTGTTACCTGAGCTGCTCTCGTTTTCAGCTTCCAGTTGGTACACCCCTGAACATGCCAAAGACCAGTCCTGACATCTTGGCCTTGTTTTTCTTTCTTCTCTTCCATGTGTGTATCTTATTACATGGAAGTATGCTGAGAGGTAGTTTGCCATGTAAAAATGTTATGAA